TCTGCTAAAATTTTAAATCTATATTTAAAAGAATTAGTAATACAAAAAATGTACATATAAAATGATTTAAACACTTACTTTAGTGATTTTGGAGGATCTCTATCCATACAGAGCTCCCATGCTTTACATTTCTCTTCTTTTTGAATTTAATTAAAATAAAATTGGAATTAGTTTAAAGAAATGTTTTGATTTATAAAATTATAAATTATAAATACCTGAAGAGAGATGGTTATATTTAATATCTACATCATTTAATACTATATTAAATGTAAAATATACAGAATAAAATAAAATAAAAACTATTAAAAATTTAACTATTAAAAATAAATATTCTACTAATACTATTAGTAGATAATGATTATTATTTTTTTTATTATTATTAATTTTATTATTATTATTATTTTTATTTTTATTATTGCTATTTAGTTGTTTTAATTTTTTATTTATTATATTGTATTTTACTAATAATACAATAAAGAAAACAATTAATAATACTTCTAAAGTATAAATAAAAAGGTTATTATTTGAAAAATCCATATTTATATTAATATATAATAATGAATGTTTCAAATAAATATATTTTATATTTTTATTATTGTTATGAAATTAAATTTATATGGAAAAATTATTATTGTGTTGTAAAATGTAAAAATAAAGCTATATTATTATTTGTATATGAATAAAATAATATTGAAAAAAAATAAAAATCAATTCTTTAATACAATAAAAAAAATAAAAATTAAAATAATAAAAAATAAAAAATAAATTCAAAAAAAATTTATTTATTAAAAAGATAGAACTGTTTTGAAAAATATAATTTTTTTTAAATAATATAAGGAAAATAAAAAAATAATTGTAAAGTAATAATTTATTTTATATCTTTTTTTATATTATAGATTGATCATTTTTTTATTTGATTTAAATTTTCTATTTAATTCTCTTTAAAATGATACCCAAAACATTAAACTAACATTTTCATTGCAAAAAATGATTTTTAAAAAAAATAATAAAAAAATTAATTGAATTGATTATTTCTATAATTTATACAACTAAATTTAAAAAAATAAAATTAGATTATTTATTTAATGGTTAATTTTAATAAAAAAATTAAATTTAAAATATATATATTATTTTAAATAAATTTAAATTGTAATAAAAAAAAAAGTAGCTTTTAAATTTACCGGTTTTTATGATACTAATAATGCTTTGATGTTTAATTTGTTTATTATTTGTTTATTAATATATATATATATAAATTAAAATTTATTTGTTTATAAAAATTTTTATAAAATCAACTTGTTATAATTAAATTTAAGGAAAGTATAATAACTATATTTTTTTATTTTAATATTCATTCCTTAAGAAACTATCATTGTTCAATTTTTTTCAAAGATTATTACACAAATTACAATGATAATAGCGATTCTTCAGACGATGTTGGATACAATGGAAATAGGGAAGGTCATGAATATAATAATTCAAAAGCTACCAAATATGATCAAGTCTACGAAGAACAATCATATTCAACCGATTTAGATGATGATGAAAATGAAGCTCAACAACTATTCAATGAAAAGGGTGAATGTAAAGCTGTCATGGCCAAAGGTATACAAGATCCATGTTTCAAAGAATTTATTAGCGAAGATGAAAATAAAGATACTTTTATTGAAGTTATTCTAAAATTACTTTTTAAAAATTTTTTATCATTTTCTAACTTGTTCTATAAATGTTTTGAACATATTTCGGTAATGTTAAAATTGTTATTTTTGGTTTGATGTACTATATTTTACATTATTAAAATTTTAGTCAATATCAACACTTTAAATTTTTAAAATAATATTTATTTTTAAAAATAAAATAATTTTAATAAAAAATTTTTTTTTTTTTTTATTTTTTTTTTAATTTTTTAATTTTTTTTTGGATCTAAAGACTTTTTTCGATCACAACAAACAAACAAACACATAAATAATTTTAATAATGTAAACTATAGCACATCCAATAATCAATAATAATTTTAACATTACTGAAAATATGTTTAATACCTTTCGAGAACAAGTAAGTAAATTAATATATTATTTTAAAACAACAACAGCAACAACAAACCCATATACATAGAAATTTGCATCGTTGAAGAAATACAGAAAATAGAAACAGAGTTACTAACATAAACTAAATTAACTTTTATTAATATCCAAAAGGAAGATTTACCAATTAGAATTATTCAATACCCTTACAGGATCAGTTGTCGTCAATATCATGAATGAAAGGATTTTAATCAATAACATAAAGATTTAGACTATGTTTATTAAATACAGCAAACCTATTAAAAGAGATTTTATACTATTTACAAATAATAAATACCAATCCATCCACCAACTATCGCTCAATAAAAATAATAATAATTTCAAAATTAATAGCAATAACAATCATAAAAACATTGGCAAAATAAAAGATTAAACTTAGATCCAACAAAATACTAAACACTAATGAAGATATTCAATCTAATCAACTATTTATATGAATCTTAATACATTTGCTTTGGAATGATAGAACACAAATAGTTTAGACAATACAAATGATCCACAACAATCAATTGGTTTTGCTTTATTCTCATATTGTATTATGCTTCATCCTTCTACTGGCATCTCCCACCATTTTTTCAACTTTATAAATGCAAACTTATAATCAGAATTGCCAAGTACTAGAACTGTTCAAGTATAGAGGTTATTTATTCATTGTAGAAATGAAAATTAAAACCTATGCAAATTGCAACTTATACACGTAATGTATCTTTAATTAAATTAAAATATGCAAGATATATAATAAATCAAGCTAACAATCACAATTTAATAATCAAAACAGGATTTTAGCAATCAATTAAATAATTCAAAAAATTAATCAAGTATATATTTAAATATCTTATTAAGATTCAAAACAATTCAAAAAGAGAAAGGATAGTATAACAGTAGAAATTGGGAACCTCCTAACTTGGTATAAAGACTTAGGTCCTAAGACAACACAATATTTAATTTTTGAAGCACATGACACACCAAATGCCACAACCACAACATCTGCAGCAACAACCAGAAACAATAGCAGCCAGACCAAGACAACCTGAAAAAAAAAAAGTATTTATTTCAATGAAATTGACCAACGAAATTTTATTAAAGAATGTGATTATAAATTTTTTTTGGATGCATCCTTGAACTGATAATTTATCTCAA